CAATACTGCGTATGCTATAGGATAGGTATAAGAGCAGAGCGCGGTGAGAGAATTACAAGCGCGTTAATAGCATTCGAAGCATCGCCACCGCAGCAACCATTCTAACCCTCCGCATTTGATGTTTCACATTTAGACCAGGGCATTTGGAACAAGAAACACCCGAATAATTCGATTTTTAAATACAGGACCTATCGAATTATAATTTTTTGCATTGTGGGATGACGTCAGAAAAAAGTCAACAATAGAAAAATGGGACAAAATAAACAATTGCATTTACAGTGCATAAAATGTATCCAAAAGTGCATGAAATGTTTGGGGCCATATCGAATTTAATGTCAAAAATGAGTATATTAAAGGCCAGATTTTATTACTCGGGGATTTTGGGGAAGCTGAACAGGAATATGAATTCAGAACCAACCCCAGAGTATCTTCTTGAGTTTAAAATGTTTCTGACACTAAATTGATGCAAACAGATTACTCGGGGTTTTTTGAGGTCACTGGAGCTCTTGGTGCCCCGAGTTACTGCTAAGGCACGTCATCTTCTGGAGTTTTAAGGGTTTTCGGAACCAAACTGATACAAACAGATTATTCGGGGGTTTTTGAGTTCCCTGAACTCGAATACGCTGTCAGAACCGGTCCGTGAAGCACCTGGTGCCTAGGGTAACTGCTAAGACACGTCATCTTCTGGAGTTTGGAGGGTTTTGGCACTAGATTGATGCAAATAGATTCCACGAGTGATTTTGGGGTTGCTAAATACAAATATTACATTGCACCGACCCTCAGAGCACCTAGTGCCCAGAGTGATTCCTATGCAAATTATCTTCAGGAATTTTGAGGCTTTCCGATACTAAATTAACGCAAAAAGAGTACTTGGGGGTTTCTGAAGTTGCTGAGTACGATTATGACGTGGAGTAGCTAGTGTCCAGGGAGACGAAGAACAAGTAAATCGATCTTGAAATAAACGAAAAGAATTGTCCATTATAAATTGAGTTTCTATTTATAAATTCAACAAACCGTAAAAATAATGATTTTTTATTAATTTGCTTAGCAGTTAACCTGGTCACCAGGTACTCTGGAGGATAGTTCTAATGGCGTATTCATATTTAGCGACCACGAAAACTCCAAGTAATCCCTTTGCATCAACTTAGTGCCAAAATTCCTCAAAACTCCAGAAGGTAATGTGTGTTAGAAGTAATCCTAGGTAACAGATGCTTCGGGGGTCGGTTCTGACGGTGTATTCGATTTCAGCGACCTCAAAATTTGCCTCAGTAACAAAATTTGGCCACTATCAGAAACGCGAAAGTTCTTCAAGAGGATTAACCAGAACAGGAAAGAATTCAAACTAGATTATCAATCGTTAGAAATAGAACAGGAAAGATCATTGGTGATCAGGACCAGATACTAGAAATATGGGCAAAAAACTTCGAGGAAAGGGAAAAATATAAGAGCTGAGGCAGGGATACACGAATCAAAAATCCAACTCGAGGACATTGACGATGAAAGAGAGAAAGATAACATCCCAACAAAGGTAGAAGTCATCCAAGCATTAGAAAAATTAAAAAAAAAACAAAGCTCCTGGAACAGATGGCATTCTTTCAGAACCTTTAAACATTGTAAAAAAAAACCTGACATACTGTATATGTAGACTGGTAGAACTGATCTGGAAGCAAATAAAGTTGCCAGAAGACTGGAATGTAGGTATAATTGTACCTATCCACAAGAAAGGAGATCAAACAATATGTAACAACTACAAAGGAATAATACAACATATTAGCATATATTCTTTACAACCGACTATTGGGATTTTGGAAGACAATAGGTAAATATCAGTGTGGGTTTCGTAAAGAAAGATCAACGACCGATCAAATATTCCTTCTAAGGCAAGCTCTGGAAAAAACATATGAGTATGGCATTGATACTCATCACCTGTTTGTTGATTTTAGATGTGACTATGATAGTGTTGAAAGAAACGCACTGTACAAGGCCATGATAGAATTCAGCATCCTAGTATACTTGGTAAAATTGGTGAAAGCGACCCTCTCAAGAGTCGAGTGTAAAATTTGAGTGCAGAACGGAGTTTCCAGAACGTTGCAGTCTCAGATAGGACTTAGACAAGGAGACAGCCTATCATGTCTTCTATTCAATATTGCACTAGAGAAAGCGATAAGAGAATCTGGAATAACAACCAGAGGAACTATTATTAATCGCAGCGTACAATTACTAGCCGTACTTTGATATATTTTTTAAATTGTAGACTTTTTAGTACTTTTTCCTAAATGCCCTGGACTAATTATTACTTTCAAATAGTTTTTTTTAACTACTAATAATCTTTTGTTTTCTATAAAACACCCTACACACATCCTGACTAAACCACCCAACTCTCGTGACCGACAACATTGGACAAACGGTTGGTGTGCGGGTAGGCTTATTAACCGAGAAAAAAAATTGTCAGGTTGGGTAATGGAGAAGTCAGCTGTCGGGATGTTGCGGATTTACAACCAGATCGATCGGCTCGACCATCGGGTACAACTGTTTTGTCGATCGACACACGTACCAACCGTCGGGTCTAATATTGTCGGTCATGACAGATGGGCGATTTTGCCGGGACGTGTGAAGTGTGTATAACATTGCCGAATTATACTGAAACTACATAAAGTAAAGATTTAATTTAAACTAAAACATGGACGCCATATGTTACATTTGAAAAAAGAATATAAAAATTCTAATAATAGTATGACTGTGGACAGGGCATAGCGGTGTCAACCAGCTAGGGGGGGTGTTCGTCAGCGGGCGTCCCTTGCCCGATTCCACTAGGCAGAAGATCGTCGAGTTGGCGCATTCTGGAGCAAGACCCTGTGATATTTCAAGAATTCTTCAAGTCTCTAACGGATGTGTTTCAAAAATACTTGGCAGGTAAATGACTTACTGTATTAGTATGTCGTCGTGAGAGTGTTATGTAGGTATTTTAGGACAGATCCCTCTGTTTTAATATAAAAAAATATAAAATATAGCAATATTTAAGCAATAAAATTAATTATCATAATAAAATAATTTATAATAATCTTTTTTGAAAACGATTTCTGGATTGGAGACCGAAACAAATGTAATTTTCATTACAATCAATTGAGGTTTAATCCTATATAAATACAATATTTAGGAGTGAGGGGGCTCAATGATCCTCCTAAGAAAAAAACTTCTAAAAGTGCCAAAGTAATTTTAAAATTACATTTTGCAATCGATGTACACCTAAAAGAGTAATTTATCTTAACACAACACCAGTTTTTTTAAATAAATCCTTATTCGCTTTTTAAACATACAAAAAATAAAAAAATAGCAACAGGATCATTTTACCTGCATATTGGGGGTAATCATCATCATCCAGCCTCAAGAGTCCACTGCTGAACATAGGCCTCTTCCTCATGTTTCCAACCCCGTCTATCTTGCGCCGCTCTTATCCAGTTTTTATTGAGTTTTCTTAAATCGTCAGTCCATCTTGTAGGTGGTCGACCGACGCTTCTCTTGTCTTCCCTTGGCCTCCATTCCAATAACCTCTTTGTCCATCGCCCATCTGTCATTCTGGCTATGTGTCCTGCCCATCTCCATTTTAGTCTGGCTATCTTCTCGATGATGTCAGTCACTCCGGTTCTTCTCCTGATGCCTTCGTTTGTTATTCTGTCTCGGAGAGTTATTCCTAACATGGACCGCTCCATTCCTTTCTGCGTTACTCTCAGTTTGGTAGCTGCTGCTTTTGTTAAGATAAGTGTTTCTGCTCCGTACGTCAAGACTCGGAGGACGCACTGATCAAATATCTTTCTCTTTAGGCATGTGGGCAGCTTACTTTTAATGGGGTAAAACGATCCCTTATACAAACAACAAATATATTATCAAGAAAAAAATATCTTTAAAGCCTAATCTTTTCTCAACTCTGGCAAACGCAAAGGGAACATAGCAGCAACGGTCACAAAGGAATTCATCTTCGTCTTCTTCAACTCCCATACAAACAATTCGTAAGCATCCATCATTTGAAGTAAAATCTTCCTCGGTGTAGTAGAGACACGTTGCATGTCTCTGGTTGTCTTCTGAATCCGAAGAGTCGGATAAACTTTTTTTATATTCTTTTGTTTGTTTTGGTTTCTTCTGTTTGAGTGTCTTCTTATTATTTTCATTTTTTCTTTTAATTACCTTTCCTTTTGTTTCTTTCTTGTTAATGTCCTCTTCAAGAGCAGTTTTGTACTTCTTTTTGTTGTATTTCTCTTACCTTAAATTATAGGAAGTGGTTGGCATTCTTGTGGTGTAACTGTAAACAATGAATTCATTTGTTCATCTCGTTTTAAGCTTTGCCTAGGCTCAGGATTCTTATACAGATCGTTTATTTCGCTATAACCATTTATCTGCTTTGGTTATGCCTGTCGATAAATCAGCTAGTTTACTTAAACTAGATCCTTGAGCCATATCTAAAAAAACCTCTGGGTTGAATGGAAATATCTGTTTTGTGGAACCCGTTTATCCCATTTGTTCGTATACAATCCTTTAAGTAGCCTTCGCACAATATTTTGCTAATTTGAAACACTGACACGGATCTACCAGGATGATGGTTCAACCATCTTTCTAATGCTTGGTCTAAATAAACGCTAAGTGGACCCATAACACCAACGTCCAGCAGCTGAAGCTTGTGCGTGCAGTGGAGAGGTAAGCACAAGATGGTTACAAAGTTTTCTATGGCACTAATAATAACATCGACATTTCTGGTGTGAGATAAATGTCCATCTAATATGTAAGATAGCCTTACATATTGGATGAACAGAAAGATTTTTGAGTTTTTTTATATCAGCAAAACTAGATCTGTAGGTGCTCTATATATAAAGGTATATGTGTCGGGTGTCGCCTACCCGCATACTGAGGACACAGCCACTACTGGTGTTGTCAAAATCTTCTAAATTTTATTTTTTACGCAAATTAGTCAGAAATAGTTTGTTAAAATTTGATTAATATTTTTGTAGGTATTATGAAACAGGATCAATTCGTCCACGTGCAATCGGAGGTTCAAAACCTAGAGTTGCCACCGCTGAAGTGGTGTCTAAAATATCTTCATACAAAAGAGAGTGTCCTTCCATATTTGCCTGGGAAATTAGGGATAGGTTATTGCAAGAAGGTGTCTGTACAAACGACAATATACCAAGCGTAAGTATTTATTTGAAATTTTCAAAATATACAATTTAACGCGTTATTTTCTATTATATTATATAACTTTTCTTTAAACACTTATATACCTTCTCAAACTATCAAAACGGGCAATACAATATGCAGTCCATTTAAAACGAAAAAGGGACTACTACAGGGTTGCTCCACATCCCCCACCCTGTTCAAAATATTCCTGGAAAAAAACCCTGAAACCATGGAAAAGAAAGTGCGAAGGAATGGGTATACCAGTAAGGAACGAATATCTATATACGCTAAGTTTTGCTGACGACCAAATAGTGATCGCACAAGACGAGGATGACCTCAGTTTTATGATGAGAAAACTGGAGCAGGAATATACAAAGAATGGGATGGAAATAAACCTAAAGAAAACTGAATACCTAACAACGGAGAATACAGAAATAAAACAGCTGGAAATAGACGAAGGTAAACAAATCAAAGGAACAGACAAGTATAAGTATTTAGGTTTCATAATATCAAACAAAGGAACAACGGAGGAAGATATAAAAAATAGACTAGGACAAACAAGAGACTGCATACGAAAATTGAACCCGATACTATGGGATAAGAACATCAGCATGAAAACAAAGAAAAAAATATATAATACCATGACAAGAAGTATCCTCACTTATGGGTGTGAAAATTGGACAATAAATAAGAAAACCAAAAACAAAATAAGAGCAACAGAGATGGAATTCCTAAGGAGAAGCTGCAGAGTAAGAAGAAGAGATAGAATAAGTAACATGGAGATTAAGAGGAGAATGGGAATTCCGACATAATAGACTACATCGAACAGAAGAGGTTAACCTGGTACGGACATGTCAGAAGAGCAGATCAAAATCGGTGGATAAATAGAATAACAGAGTGGACCCCGATAGGAAGAAGAAATAGAGGCAGACCCCGAAGATCTTTCAGAGATGAAGTGGACGAAGCAATGAGAAGAAGAAACCTACATGAAGGGCACTGGCTAAACAGGAAAATTGGAGAAAACGGTTGAGAGTGAAGGAATACAGTAAAAACTGTGGAAATCCTATATATATATATATATATATATATATATATATATATATATATATATATATATACCTTCTCTTTATAGACGGAATAATTCAGTATTTTTAATTTAAAAGTTGTTTCTTATTTCATTTTTTTGCTTTTTTGCAAAAACTTATATCGGTCAAACTGGTAAAACCCTCAAAAACGTATAGCAGAACACAAAAGGGCTTTTTAGATTCCATGTACGCACAATTTTAAATTCTTCATGTTCAAAATAAAGGCCCTAAGCTGTCTTTATTAGAATCTATGAAAATTAATAATGAGACAAACAACAACCCTTTAAGTAAAGGTTGAATCCTTTATTTAAACTTTAATATTCTTCTCATACACAAATTTTGCACTTTTAATCGTTATAACTGTAATCTATAAAAACCAATTATATATCTAATATATAAAATGTTCTGGCCATTATAAAGAAAAAACGATATCCTGTTGGATCTCTTAAATACATAGGGGACGGCAACAAATATACAATGTTATGAACTGCATTATCTAAACAAACCAACACATTGTACTATAATTATGAAGAGACACCCAACACACCCTAACAATCTAGACACGTCAGACGGATTTCCGAGTCCAGCTTAGACTTCCCTAAGAACTGCTGTCTGATGGACCATATCAACGTTCCCCGGGGAGCGGAGTGACAGAACTATAATGAATAGAGATTAGTTTCGAGATAAGAGTACATACATCGAGTTGGAGACATGTATAAATAAACAGACAAAAAGTTGGGACGGGATTTTGATGATTTATTTGAAGTAATATGGGCATATAAAGTAATCAATGATTATAGTAGCATGTTTTAAGATGTGTGTCCTTTTTATGTTGCCACATATACATATTATATACTTACTCAAGTGCAAATATAAAGGAGTATTTCCTGTTTACTATATCGTCGCCTGAGAATTATACTGTTCCATCTCCTAAAACTCAATTTTACAGGAGAGCGTTTTTAAATTTAATGTAAAATATTTTTGATATTATTGAAAAATTGTTTTACAGATCATGATCACTGTTTGCATATTAAATCACTTTTGTTATAGTGCTTTATTATTGCAAATTAAAACAACATTAACATTATAGTTTATTCGTCTTCCGGTTTGGACCGTGTCATTTGTGAGTGACCCAAAAGTGGGTTCATCTCGACGTTTCAACCTCCTTTCAACATATTTTTCTTTTAGAGGCAATTTCTACAAACAAATATCTGAAACACCAATGGGTTCTCCCCTTTCCCCTGTCATTGCTGACATTTTCATGGAAGCCTTTGAGTCTTTAGCCCTAGAATCTTACCCCTTAAAACCAAAAGTCTGGTTCCGCTACGTTGATGATACATTTATCATCTGGCCCCATGGTCAACATACCTTTCTCCCTTCCTAGATCATCTTAACTCACAACATCCGAGTATAAAATTCACAATGGAAGTAGAAAATAATCGGTCCCTTCCTTTCTCGATGTGTTAGTCACCTCCAAGCCCAATGGCCGATTGGGTCACTCTGTTTATAGAAAAAAGACTCACACGAATCGTTACCTACATGCTTCATCACACCACCATCCTGCCCAAAAGAATTCTGTGATCAACTCTCTCATCCATCGGGCCATTTCGATTTCTGAACCCGACAACCTTAGAGAAGAACTTGGCCATCTGCAAAAAACCCTTGTCGCCAACGGTTACTCCAAGTCCACAATTCAAAATATTACACACCGACATCTACATCCCCCTTTACACCCTAGGACGACAAATTCAGAATCTTCGGGTAATACTCCTGTGGCTTTTCTTCCGTATATTCGAAATGTCACTGATAGGATTGGCAAAATTCTTCGCAAAGAAGGTATCAGGACTACTTTTCGACCACCCAAGAGAATCTCACAATATCTACCCTCTCCTAAGGACCCATTACCGCCCCTATCTTCCTGTGGTGTCTATTCTATTCCTTGTTCATGTGGACATGTGTATATTGGCGAAACTGGTCGTTCCGTCAAAACTCGGATTCAAGAGCATCAAAGATGCATTCGATCAGGTCTTTTCTCCCATTCTGCAGTTGCAGAACACTGCCAAGAAACCGGTCATTCCATATTGTTCGAAAAAACCCATATTATTTCTAAAAGCCCCTTCTTTTATTCCAGGAAAATCCGCGAATCTCTAGAGATCCGAAAAAATCCCCATAATATCAATCGAGAGGAAGGATACTACTTGTCTCCCATCTGGAATCTCAGTCAGAACCGCCGTCCGGTCCCGCCACTACGATGCAGCCACATGATTGGCCAGCGCGCGCTTCTTGACGTTCGCGCCACGAAGTGTGCCGATACGTCCCGACACGACAGGCACCGCGACTATAAATAGAGCGGTAGCGAGTAATCGTCGGATTCACTCCCCGCCTCTCGACGCGTTAGTGTTCTGAGCTGTTGGACGTGAATCCCTGTCCTGGCATTTGGTTTTCACCTCTGGCTGCGTTGAGTAGTTGAGTTACTGTGACCAAATGCCCATCTTGGTAGTTAGTATTCGCCTCTGGTTGCGTTGAGTAACTGAGTTACCGTTGCTAACTACCCATCTTCCTGTTCTTTGTTTTCTTCTTTCTTTCTTTTTTTTTTTTTGTTCTCCTGAAGAAGCTACATACAATTGTAGCGAAACGTCGAGATGAACCCACTTTTGGGTCACTCACAAATGACACGGTCCAAACCCGAAGACGAATAAACTATAATTCTGACTCTGGCCGTGGAAGCCTACGATTTCATTCAACATTAACATGTAATACGGAAAAATTTATTTGGATATAGAACAAAAGGAACATTTAACTGAAATATTTGGGATATAGAACATGTATAGTGGATATAGAACTAACTAATTCTTAAAATGTTTTATTTGTGGTAACGACAAATTATCAAATAAAAACAAAATTTATTAAATATATTACCGTAACTTAAAGAAAAATACAATTATTAGGTGTACTAAAAAAACAATAATCTTCTATTTCTCACTACTTTCCTTATTTGTCTATTTCTTTTGTTTTTCTTTGTTGCACATGATACTTGAATTGTGCTTCAAAACAACATTGTAAAACTCTTTATCAACTTCCGGCATGAACGGTATCATCTCTTTGAGATGATTTTTCTTTAATTCAGGTAATTTTGGTGTTAAATTAACGAGTTGCAGCACTTCTGGTAAATTATTATGTATTTGACATCGCGTTTTTTTAACGTTTTCCAGTTTAATTTCCTTAAGTGGCCCTTCATATAGTTCACCATATTTTATGATTAAAGGAAATTCTTTTTCGTATATCAGATGTTTCACTTTAGTGTAAGGTACGTTTCGATAGGATAATTTTTCTGATTCTGCTTGGTAATTTTTATAATCTGCAGTGATCATTTGAAAAAATTTAAATTTCATTTTCCACGAGTTTGGAATCTTCGTTAAAATTTTTAACAAACTTACGGGGCTCCAAATATCTACATTTTTTACAAATCTTTCTATACAACTATGAGCTGCATCGACTTCTTGTACACAGCTGTGACCCGGTTCACCAAATTTCTGTTCTATTATTTTTATCTGACCTGAAGAATTGGATTACAAAAAATGTTGCAAAGCAAATGTCATTATTGAATTTTTATTTTGAGGTACACAGCTGTCTGACCATAAAATTAATTTTTCAAGTGCAGGATTATCTGGTACTACTTTTTTAAGTATTTTAATCAAAGCACGAGAAATATGAAGTCCGCTTCTACCAGAAATCATTTCATGCCATAAGGCATTATATACGATCTTAGTTTTGTCGAAATGAGCAGTTAAATTATAACAAGAAAATTTTGTTTTATAATAAAAATTACTTACGTTAGATTTTGGTAGCGAAAAAACTTTTTGCAGATCAAAACATAAAACACCAACACATTTGCCCTCGGAGGATATAAATTTGTCTCGCTTTTTTTCC